TTGCAGTGTGTTCATCAGAAACAGAGCCTAAACATGGTAAATTATATTCTGCAGCAGCTAAATTTTGATAAGAACATTTGGATATCTGTCCTTGGTCAACTGCTTTTACTATAGATTGAATTTGATGATTTTTTTTTTCTTGTTCATAACCATAATTCACTTGAAAATCCATATCATTAAGTGAGAATTCAATTTCTTTCAGCATAACTTTATCAGACTCATGATAAATTTCCTTAACATTATTATTAAAACTAACTTGTGTTCTTTCTGCAATTTTTTTAGCACGTTTTTCAAGTGTTGATTGGACACAATTATTGGCTGGTTTAATTAAATGCCCTCTTCTTCTTGCTTCACGTGCCTTTTGCACACTGTTTAATTGTAATCCAAATACAAGAGGACCTGAAATAGTAGCCTTTGTCCCTGGTTTTAAAGCCTAAAATAGTATTAATTAGGTAATTCTATAAGTTACTAATTATTATAAAATATACATACTCTCTCATAATTAAGTGCTGCATCAGATGGAGATTTAGTTGAGAAAATGACATTTTGAAAGTTAAAACCATATTCAATACAAAATTGAGGTATTCCATCAACATAATTAATTTTACAACGAACTGTTCGTTTATTAGCTGCTCGTCCCCATGTTGTTTCTACAATATAATTATGTGGGATTTTATATTGTTGAATTGATCTTTTTTTTCTACTAATTACAGAATTTTTGCTTTTTGGTCCAGTAAGGACTTTTTCAGGATAAACACCTTCTTTTATAATAACATAACTGAAACTACGTTTCGTTTGATTATTTACACACTCTTTGTATGTAATATTATTAACTAATGGGTATGTGGAGTTTTCTTCAATTTGAAGATTAGGATTAGTGTTTTCTTGGTTAAAATTTTCTGTTGTCATGTTTATTATTATTTATTATTGGTTATCATAGTAATAGTAAAAATTTTGTGTTACATATTCCCTGTAATTTGTCCATTCCGCAAATTGGCCCATATGTATTTAAATTAAAATCATTAAATGAGGAGGATGAAGAGATTGACATTCAAGTTTGATGAACATCTTGCTGCTGCAGATTGTGAAAGACAACATTATAATAATGTTAGAAAAAAATGTAAAAATAATCCAACATTAACTCACATCTGTTATGATTGGGCTCAAAGTGTTGCTGCACCATATTCACCTCAGCAAGTTGGCTCAATTTATTTTAAAAGGAATTTTAAAATAAATATCTTTGGTATATGTACTCAAAGAGATAATGGAGATAATTTTCAGCTAAATTATACAATAGAGGAAGATGAATTACTGGAAGGAATATCAAAAGAGGCAAATACAACTTTGAATATGGTTTTTGATTTTTGGTGAAAAAGATCTATATGTGACATGTGATAATTGTTCAGGACAAAATAAAATAACTTATCACTCTGGTTTTGGTCATGTTTAATAATGCTGGGTTGATATGAAAATATTTATATAAATTTTATGATTCCTGGACATACTAAATTTATTTGTGATGGATTTTTTGGATCAATCAAAAAAGTATATAGAAATAGATGTATTAATAGTGTTGATCATGTTGAAGAGGCTATAAACGATTCAACAATAGAAAATAATAATAAATCTCTTAGATATAAAAATGGTGTAGGTTGGAGATGGTATGATTTTAACACATTGTTCAAAGATAATTTTAGAAATTTGCCAAATATAACAAAATACCATCATTTTCATTTTAGTAGTAATGGTGATGATATTGGAAAAGTTTATGTTTCTAAAAAATCTGGTGACTCAAAAATTCCTTTTAAACTTTTAAAGAATAATGACTTTAATAAGAATGGCCAATTAAATATTCTTGAGGCTGCTCCATTAACAGATGATAGAAAAAGATATCTGTATACAAAAATTCATCAACATGTAGAAGATCAATTTAAAGATATTCTTTGTCCAGAGCCTAGTACTTATTAATTTTGATCTGTTATTTATTATTATTTCTTATAACATTCACAACGTTTATTATTTAAATTATTACATGTAACAATAAAAAACGGGGTATGTAGATCAATTTCATTCTACATACAAATTACTTTAAAAAAATATCCGGCCTACAATTTCCCATTTTTTTATTAAGCAAACAGGGTCTGATATCTTCACAAGTTATATCATCTACATATCATAGGATGGTATTATGTAAAAAACACAAATTTGGTCAAAAGAGCTCGGAGGTGGTTTTTGCTGTAGACTGTCCCAAATGATTATGAAAATTTTAAGGGAAAAGTAATGACTGCTTATAATATTGTAATGTCAGAACATTCATTTTTTAATTTATAATATTTACAATGTGGAATTTAATGTTATTTAACAGGTTAATTTTTTTAATAATAATAATATAAAAAATTAAAAAAATTAAAATGATGATTAACTATAAATGTACATACATGTGTTTATAATATTAATATTAATATTTTTATATATGAAACATTGTAAAACTGACCACATTACAATTGTAATGGAACGACTAAATTTTTATCCCAATGTTCACTTTGTCTGGCTTTGTTGCAGTATGCCCATATGTAAATCGGAATGATCTTCCTTTGTGATTTCCTAAAAGGCTACTGATGATCGACTTAAAAAATTTCCAAGATACAGAAAATCATTCCAATTCTTCTAAAATTTTAAATTTCGGACTGACACATTTATAGATGGCTTGAACCATAGTAATAGCGAAAGTTTATCAACCCAATTGCCGCGTTTTAAAATTAATTATCGCTTTTTTGGTCATTACAACTGATGATCTTCTTCTCCCTATTTGTGAATTGATAAAATTGATAAATAAGTTTATCAAATTTTATTATTTATTTGTCCATATGAAGGATTATAGTATTTTGCATCTTCTCGACCATTTGCCAAGTTTATAAAGATAACGTTGAAGAAATTCTTTAGTTTTATAATGCTGTTTTTGAGAGCCTATATCAATATGAGAGTTGATTACACGGGTTTGAATGAACGAATGTGATGAATCGTCTGACATATAACTGATAATAATAACATTTCGTCAGTTGACTAAATTCGACCATTTCGCAGAAAAATATTCAAGGTTAGTTGAATATCCATAGGAAAACTAAAGATTCTTTCCCGGTTAACGTGGTAATTACTGTACATGCTTTGTGCATGTAAATACACGTATCCAAGCAACCATAACACAATATTACGGGTTGCATAGTCGTTAATTTGAGTCCAAATCTGACTATTTCAAGTATGTGGCTTAGAGAACGTTTAGTATTTCTTTTCGCATGGTTAAGATCGTATCCTTTTTATACTTCTGATAATTCAAAAGTATAAAACGGGAATTCGTGTAACACGTCAAATTCATCTGCATTTTTTTTCCTTTTTTCTCATTCCTCCTACAAATTTTTTTTCTTTACCATTATTATTAAAGAAAAAAAGTGATCAATTGTAAGTTTGACCGAAATCCTGAACCATATATATATATATATAAACGCACATTAAACTCTTCTTGATAAAAATGTCTTCAAAGGTAATATGATAAATATTCTCAAGTTAAAAAAAAATAAACTTTACTAAGTTTTCGAGCAAAAATTTTTTTTTCAGTCAAGACCAAAGCAACAAAACTCCAAAATTCTTTCTGCTTCTGATGGTAAAGAGCAAATTTGCCTGTCATTGTTCGTCTTGTGTTATGATTTTTATATTATTAAATTTTCCAATTGCTTTTTTTTCCTATTTTTGGGAAAGAAGAAATCAAATACAGGAGAAAATATAAAGAACTTAAAAAGAAAATACATGAAATGGAAGAGGTACAAAATTTCTTTTTTAGCATTGGTTTATTTTTTCCTTCTAGACGATTTTACATATTATGGTTTTTTTATTAGGAAAATGATAAAATAAATCTTAAATTGGTGAGAGCCAAAAAAAGCATACAGCGATTAAAGATAGAAAGAAGGTAAAACGAAAAACAACATATATAGACATAAAAGATAAAGACAATTATAAATTTAAATCATCATCAATTAACTATTTATTTTAATTAACCAGTTATTTTTTTCTTTTAGTTTTCTAGTGGATCGTTTAGAGCAATCACAACAGCACATTAATAATGAATCTGGGTCAGAGATTTCATCATCTCCACCAAGAGCAATGGATACTGAAGATGAATTAAATTCGGTGGGTAGTGATGACAATAAAAATAAAAATAATGATGATAGTAGCTCTTACAATAAAAACATGTCAGTGGATGATTAATTATCTTACAACTCCAAAAAAAAAAGGAAGAGGAAAAATACCTCATACTTATTTATTAATTGACATAATATGCAAAGTATTTTGTTCATATTTAATGATTAAGAAGGCATTAAATAATAATAATAACAATAATAATGTTTTTTGATAATGATCATTTAATATATATTTTAATGTAATCTAACTTTACTTCACTCTCCTTCATCTCATCGTGCCGTCCCCCCACTTCACTTTCTTTACATATATTCTTAACTCTTATCACATCATTCCCTGTACAAAATCATTTTGCAAAAATGAACCATACATGGATCAATTAACGAAAATGATTATATTTTCTTAAAATTAATCTTTTTTGGAAATGGATAATATATAAATCAATTCAAAACAAATAATAATAATAACAATGTTTAAAAATTATAATTTAAATTGAATTTATTAAAAATTAGTCACAAGAAGAAATGCTTGAAGACTCGCGTGTAGGGAAACGTAAAAAACAAGTTAGAGATCCAAATGCACCTAAAAGACCACGTAATGCATTCTTGATATATTGTCAGAATCAGCGTGAACAAGCAAAAGAAGAAAATCAAAACAACAAAGGATTTCAAGGTGTTACTAGAATATTAAGTCAAAAATGGAAGGATTTACCTGAAGATGAAAGAAAAGTTAGTAAAACTGGACGAAATTTGGTGTATATCTTACTGTCGATACACTATTATCTATTTATTTATCATTATTATTTTAAAATAGATTTATTTTGAAATGTATAACAAAGAAAAATTACGTTATGAAAAAGAAATGTCCAGTTATGTTGGAGCTTCTTCGATAAATAATTATGGTCCTGAGGATTCACAAAGAAATCAAAATGTATCAATAATGATGATGGGAGAAGATGATGTAAATGCCAATAATGTTATCAATAATGTTACTGAACATTCTATTGATTACGACGATCAAGGTTTTTAAATTCACAAAGATTTTAATAGAGGCATCAGTTATCGGTGCGACTTATTATTAACCTTCTTCCTCTTTTTATTATTTAGCAAATACTGAAAGACAACCAATTTCTTCAAGCAACATTCATAATCATTACAATCGTCAAGAAGAAAAATATCGAGATGGAGCTGATGCTTGCGCCACAGAGTCAGAAGACAATGGTAGAAAGCGCCACATAATGACGATGATGAAAGAGGATGGATATGATGAAGATGCTTCAAACTCTTCTGTTAGCGAAGAAATGTTTGATGAATTAGCAGCAGACATAGCATATAATAGAGGATTTACAAGAGATGTGTTGCGTTATAATGAAAACGAAAACGAGGTAAGGGGTTTAGGAGCTGAAGAGGATGAAGATGAAGACGAGGAAGACGAGGATGAAGAAGACGAGGATGAAGAATTAGGCAGCGTTGAAGGTGGTGGTGATTTAGAATACGATAGACGTGACGTACACAACATGATGTCAGAGAATGAGGATTAATGTGAACAAGGGGAAGAAAACTTTTCTTTCAACTTTTAGTAATTATATATATATTATATATATGCAAATATCAATATAATATATAATTAAATTTAATTTCATAAATTTATTAATTATTATTAAAAACTTTATTTTAAATTTATCATTATTATTAATTAATAATTATTGTATTTGTTTTCGTTTACAAGGAATTTCTTCTTGCATCATCAATTCATCAATCATCAATACTGAGAATGATCTTTTTAATTTTGAAAATCCCGGTTCAAATCCATTATTATCTTTTAATTTTGCAAATTGATATTTTGCTTCTAAAGCTTTATGTTTAGAATTAATAGCTTCAAAATTATTTGGTGTTATAATCATCATATGTTCGATCAAATTTTGAAATAATGTCGGATTTAAGTATATGTTGTCTTAAAATAAATATAAATCAATATATATTATTAATAATCATTTAAATATCTAAACAATTAGTGAAGTAATTACCAGGATTCATATTATATAAAGTGCTTAAAACTTCCTTGACTATATTTAAATCAAATAATTCAAGATCATTGATTATCATACTAAACACTAGAATAATATGTCTTTCAGATTTTTGTATGATGATACATTGAAATCTATCTACTAATATATCTTTCAGATTTTCATGAAGTGTAGATTGTACAAAGGATTTGTTCTATTATTAATATTATCACAAATAAGATCAATTAGATGTCTAAAAAAGTGTGGAACAGAGAAAGAAAAACCTATTATTTTTCTTTTCTTTACTAACCAAATGACTAAACATGCTACTTAATATTTCAACAGCTCTCGCGTAATTTATAGATATTTCAGCAAATTTTTGAAACCATTTATCATCTAATTGTTTATAGCCAATTAACTGATTATTCAAAAACTCTAATGTATCTTCAATTACTGATTTCAAATCTTTATATAATCTTTCTTGAAAACCTTGCCAACAAATCCAATATATATTTCTATTAAAATCAAAAAAGGTTGAGAAATATTATTAACGGTATTATATATTTTTATCCTAACAACTATATATGAAAACCTGTATAGCTCTTCATGTGAGTATGTGCGTAAAGGCCTTTTAATTTGTAACTCGACTTGTAGAGCATTTTGAATAAAACTTGATATTTTAGGCCAGATATTCTCATAAGTGAACTCGTTAACTTTTTAAAAAATTTTTGGAATTTTTTTTAAAAAACCTTTTATTTTAAATAAATAAATAAATATAATTTTGATATAGTTATGATAACCTGATTCCATGTCCAATATAAGAAAGAAGAAGAGAATTTTGATTAAGCCTTGCTTAAAGGAGGAAATTATTTTTAAACAACATCTATAAATAAATAGACTAACTCTATATACCTGAATAATAATGCACATTTCTGCTGGACACGACATATACATTTGCATTTTACAATACAAAATAATTTTGATTAAAACGTAGGACACACTTCTAAATTGATTAATTTCACCTGAAAACGTACTGAATTTCATTTATTTGGATCGGCAATTCCCGTATTTTGCATTGCGTTTACGGTTTCTAGAGAACACGCGCGAAAAAAAAACGACTACATGTCTTCTGACTTTTTTTTATTCATTAATGCTAATCCATTTATTAGATTGTAAAACATAATTTCCCTTTAATAAATTTTTTTACAATGCCTGTTTCCTAGAATGAGAATATCTTTTCCAAAAAGGGAATACTTTTTGGTATTATATAAATAAATCCGTATTACAATACTAAATTTTCGTGCGCATGATGCAACATATTATATTATTATAAAAGAACCCATTAAACGTCTTTTAGAATTTCTCATTGCTTTTATTCCTACTACTATTATCGATATTATCGTTATCATCATCACTAACATTATCATCATTTGATTTTTCAATTTATTATTGAAGTAATTTAAAAGCATGGGAGCTTTTATCTATAAATTTTAATTGGTGTTGATTCTGATAAAATAAAGAAAAAGCCCACACTGGTAAATTGATTTTTCGAATAAAACTTCTAATTAATCTTGTTCTTTTTTGATGCTTTACCAGTAAGTAAGTAGCTAATGATTGATTTTTTAAACGATGATGATGACGTTGTTATTGTCGTTGTTATCGTTATCGTTGTTGTTATTATTATTCTTTTTCTTCTTCTTTTCAGAGCTCACAAATGATTATAAAATATTTGTATCTCTTCACACACTGCAACACCTTCATATAATTCACAATTGCAACCTTCAGTCACTCTACCTAACGTCTCGAAGTGCAAACCATTATAATAATAGAAAAAATTACTATTTATAATATAATTATGTTTTTAATTTCCATGGGAAAATGCACGATTCAAAAATTTCGCGCGTATGTCATGCAACCACAAGTGATAAACCAATAAGATTGATCATAATTTCTTCTCCTGTCTGAATGTATCAGGTATATCAGTTATATTCAACTTGCCAGCCTTTTACCATAAAAGGTTACAGAAACCTTTAGAACGTACTATTTTACGGATCGTATTACATAAACCTCGTTACACGATAGTTGTATTCATATATATAAAACGATGAAGAAATTTCGATGATAATTTTAAAAAAAAATTTCGATTTCTTTTATTAGTATTAGTGTTGATTGGTGTCGAGTACACACTAGTTGATTAAAAAAATAAACAAAACCTTATAATGATTCACAATAGTAACATAAAAAAAAATTCGAGATGGCACAAAAATTAATTTTTTTTTGTATAGATAAAGAAATAATTATTTATTTATTTATTTTAAAAAAAAACATAAATAAATTTTTATCTATAAAAGAGAAAAAATGGGAAAGATTCAAAATTATTTGAATCTTTGTTATGTTGGATGCTAATATAACGTATGTGTGAAAATTTGATTTTTTTTATTTTTATTTTTTATTTTGTCTTTGCATCATTATATATAATATGTAATTGTTTGATTGTGGGATAGTTGTTAATTATATATTACATCATCAATACTAAGGACATATTAAGTATTTAATTTCACCATTAATAATAATAATAGATAAAATAAAAAATTTATTAATATTGTTTCTAGTATAGTGACACATAGCCCGCGAAACCTTAAAAATTTTTTAAAAAAAAAACAATAACCATTAGCTCAAGATCAAAAGTTTTGTTTCCCCAGAAAGAACTTATTCATTTTCATGTTTTCTTCAGTTTATGTTTATTAATTAAGCTTTCAAATAATAATAATAGAAGGTATCATGAAAAAAGACAGTTATTATAATACTCAAGAATTAATCTTTTCTCCTACAATTTATAGCTACCGGTTAGAAGTCTGTCAAGAGCCAATAAGAGCAAGGATGTGCGGTTTCGGTGACAAAGATAGACGTCCTATCGATCCACCACCTGTGGTAAGGTTAGTTGTAACTAATACTGATGGGAGTATTGTTCCTGAAAGGTACAGTCATAATTATAGTTATAATTGTATTAATATTAATATTGTTTAACAATAGTAATTGATTAAAATTACGCGACTTTTGAATTTTAAATTTTATATATCTGGTGTCTTTAATAGTTCGATAGATCATTCTATGATGGTTGTCCATGCTGGATTGTGGAATGAGGACAAAACGGAAGAACGTTCCCTAGTTATAAATCCATCCACAATTCCAGCACAATCATCCAATGGTCCAAGTTCCACAGTTTTATCATTACATGCGCCAGCGCGCACACGTAACTTGATGGGTCATTACACTTCATCTGCATATGTACTATACAATCATTTAGGTGAATCTGGAATTTATTTCATATTTCAAGATATTTCGGTAAGAACAGAGGGAGCTTTTACGCTTAGGTTTTCTTTTTGCGATTTAAAAGAACTATTGATTCGGTGAGCTTATTTTATTATTAAGAGAAATGGACGTCTGACATTCATTTGCACCTGCATTATTTATTTATTATTTATTTTTTAATTAATAGTTTTTTTTCAATTAATATTTACATTATATCGAATGTTTTGGCGTTACTATTTTAAATTAATATTTATTTATTGAATTAATAAAGTAGTTCGTTAAATGGTTATCCAAACAGCCGTGGATCGGTAGGTGCCGAGGTTTTTAGTGAATCTTTTAGAGTTTATTCTGCAAAAAAGTTTCCGGGAATGACAGGTATGAAACATATATATGTATGTGCGTGTGCGTTGACATACGTAATCCTTGTTTATTATTATTTTTATTATTATTATTATTATTATTATTATTATTAAAAATGATCGATAAACAATTTCAAATTATTTTCCATCAGGTTTTGAAACTTGTTTTTTAATATCAATTAACAGTATATTAGAATTTATGACGAAATTTAGAATTAATTAACCATATATAATTTAATTGTAATAGAGTCGACATCATTATCTAAAGCATTTGCACGCCAGGGAATAAAAATTCCAATTCGTAAAGAAACTCGTTATAGAAAATCCAATAATAATAATAATGTCGAACATGAAAATAATGCCGAAGGAAAAGCTAAAGAATCAACTTCGTTAGCCGCGTCCTCTTCATCGTCATCATCGTCAAAAGCCACTTTGAAGCCTATTCAAAAATTACCTGGCCAATCTACTGTTACTACAAGTCATCATCATCTTAATAATACTGATAATAGAAAAGACGGTATTAATTCTCTCATGGAAGAAGATGATGACGATGACGAGGGAGTTAGCGAACACACCAATAATAATTATGAGAATTCTACTCAGATGGAGGAAGATCACAATAAAGGAAAATTAGCCGAGAAACTCACTTAAATCAAATAACATTAATGATTCAATTCAATATGCAATCAAACATTAATACTCTTTAAGGAGGAAGAAGAAAAAAACATAAATAAATATTCTTTAAATACATAAGATTATATCTTTAAAGTTTTATTAAATATTAGGTGAATTTTTTATTTTATTTTTTATTTATTTATTTTTCGCGTCAATTAATTAAATTAAACTTGCATTTTCTTTGATTGATATCACAAGCAATATGGAACTAATATGGAAGACAATATATCACAGATTTTTAAAAAAAGTTTAACAGTTATTTTCCCCACTATCTGTATAATTTAAGATCATCACCATCCATCCATCCATTTATTTTGCTACACATATTTTTAATATATCTTTTTTTTTTTTTTTTTTAAGATGTTGATAAAAAAAAATCAATTTTAAGACTTGTATGATTTTAAAAAATAAATAAAAATCTTATTCAAGAACAAATAATGTTGTTACAAATCCAAAGGAAAAAAATGTTGCACAGTTTGCTATATGGCATTAATTAATTAATAGTGTAAATAATAAATAAACATACGATAACACCTGGCTAATTTTGATTTTAAATTTAAAAGTTATTTTGGAAACTTGTATCATATATAATTACCAAAGACCCATTTTCAGCCTAGAAATCATGCGCATTTTATTAATAAATTTGGAATTGTAATGGCAATTATTATTTGTTTACTTTTTTTGCGACGTTTTGAAAGATTTATGTTTATGTTTATCAATGACGAATCCATGCAAAATACAAGCACACTCATAAAAAAAAACAATTACATAAAAAAGATTTATATGATGGATTGATTGGTTAATATTCAAAACATCAAATTAGGATATTAAAAAAAACCAAGAATAGCAATTTCATTTTAATTAAAAAAAAAAATTTTTTTTACTAAAAGTTTTTGTCGGATTTTTTAAAACGTGTAAAATCCGTAAAATCCGCAAAATCCGCCACGACGAAATTGGTAATTTTTAAATAACAAATTTCAATGAAATTTTTCCGTTGTATTTGATTGTAATTTGGGAAAATGATCTAGATATAGTAATAGTAAATGGCTAAATAAATAAAAGCCTCCCATTTTGGGTCCAAAAATTTAATATTAATATATTAATGGCGTAAACTTCCAAATTTGAATGACTGCTTTTTTTTAAATAAGTGCGACAATTTCCGAAATGTTACCCCCTTATCAATCTTATCGATCTTTGGGTATCGGTCGGATAATTCACTCAAGATCTATGGACCAGGTGATCAGAGATATATCCGTGCATTTATATTTATCCCTCGCTGTATCCCTCTGAACACAGGGATAAAGATCAGACTTACCTGGAAATCGTCCGCATATGGTGCATAAGTCATCATCTTCTATACCATTTCTTTTTAAAAACTCGTAACCAACAAAACTTATTAATTAATTAACAAAATAGCATTTAAAACCATTTTCTTGAGGTTTCAGTAACCCTTTGTTTATGATAATGTCATTCTTTGAACTCGGCTATGTATCAAAAAATACACAAAGTCTGGGGATTCTTTTTAACAAAGCAGATTTATACTGATGATAAAAGTTGATGAACTAAAACAACCATTTATTCAGTGGCAAAAAACATATAAAATCAATTTATTTATCATGAAATGCATCATCAGCACTTATTTATTCATCATTATTAATTACTATAAATAATAAATCATAAAATTTTTTATTTTTTTCGAAACAAATGTAAATTCTCTTTCTTGTTTCGAGATTTTTTTTTTGTTTCATACATTTAGCCTTTGGTAAAAGTGGCAAAGTGATTCTGGCGACATTCAAGAATAAATTGCAAAATTTAAGTGTCAGGTATATTTAAATATTCGCAATAATTGATCTTTCGGGGAAATAAAGGCTTTCTGATGCCATTTCTAATTCCCTGTACATAATTTTGACAATTTAAAATAATAATAAATAATAAATAATAAAACACTCAGATAACAAAATAAAATCATTCTAAAAGTCATGCCAATCAAAATCTGCCAATTCCAATTCATATTTTATTGAACAAATATTGACATCTGGGGATTATACCCGGGTCAAAAAAAATCCGGGTTATTAGTTACATTAACTTTTTTCTTTTAGAAAAAATTAATTAATAGAAAATATTTACTAAAAATACAGCCAATTCCATATTTATTATGACACCACCAATTGTTGGCGAATCATTTTAACGTAACTAATTGGCAAAAATGTCTCGTTCTGTATTTAGCGAAAGATTATTTTCTGGTACAGGTAATTTGATTACAGCAGAAAGAACTCGATTAGATCATGTCCATAATTCAATTATATATCTAAAATTAAACACGAAATATAATGTAAGCAAAACCTTAATATTTGATATTGCATAACAATAAAAATAGTATATGAAATGCCTAAATTTTTATTATTGTGACCCAGATACTAATTTTGAAAAACCACGGGTGACCCGGGTGAAACTTTTGAAACACTATTAAATATGGAAATAATTAATCTTATTAATGAATGGCTTCAAATTAAATAAATTATATAATAAAATTTACAGATCGGGGACTGGGATCGGCCAAAACATTAAATTAATCATTTTGAATAAAAATTCATCCGTTCATTCGTTTCATTCGAATTATTCATTTGTTCATTTTATCCGTTTTGTTTTTTATTTTTTATTTGTTTTATACAAATGAACATTTGAATACTCGAATAAACAAATAATTCGAATAAACCTTATTCGAATAGAGACCGTGCTTCTAAAAAAATCCAACTGAAACATTTTTTCGATTAATTGATATTAATATTAGTAGTAACTAGCATTGGTTTTTAATTCGAATTATTGGTTTTATTCGAATTATTAATTTTATTTGAATTATTAATTATATTTAAATTATTAGTATTGGTGGTTTTTTAGTCTTTGAATATTAGAATATTCGGTATTACATACCAAATTAGAATAGCATGTGACCTAACTTCTTATATTCGAATTTTTTATTTATATTGTTTATTTCATATAAATTAAAAGATTGACGTCACTTTTTGACCAAGTGAAAGAATAATTAATCAACCGTTTAATTAAAATTTATATTAATATTTCGGTCTTGTTTATAAGAGTAGGGTCTCTATTCTAATTATTTTAATTATTCATTTTATTCGAATTGCTCATTTTATTTATTTTATTCAAACTATTTTGTTTTATTTGAATTACTCATTTTATTTGCTTCATTTATTTTATTCGAATTATTTGCTATTTTATTCATTTTATTCATTGTGCAGTGTTAGAAATTGAATGTGAGTTTTGTGTTACATAGTAAATGCGCACATTTTGTGATTATAACTCGAGTCATCTAAAGCTGACCAATTTTATTCAACATTTTTGAAGCCCATCACATGGACACACAGAGCGCTTTTGGACTCAAATTCTTTGTAGTTTTATATAGCAAACTCCAATGAATAATTCTGTGAAAAGTTTGGTGTAAAATATTTATTACTTAAAAGTTATGATGGTTTGAATATTAGTAACTTTCTATATTTTAAAAAATTTTACTCTAAATTTTACCACCTCTTCCCAAAATTAGGACTTTTGATCACAGTGAACAAAAAATTTTAATGTGTGTATATATACACAAGAGTTTGTTATTACTGTTACTACTGCTTTTAATGTGCCATTATTATATTTGATGCCATTACATTAGAGAAAGTTAAATCTTTCAAAGAAATTTGAATAATGTTCTATTTGATTATAAAGTAATAATATTTAATATTAATATACCCATGTCCATTCACCATGTTAATATTATATCATACTCGGATAATTAATTGCATATATAACTATTAATAAAAACAAGTATTAATAGATAGATAAATAAGATGTCAATATTCCATTCAATAAAAACTACATCTACCTGCAGTTTTTCATATAAACAATAGTCTTTATTCATAATAGAGTAAGAAATTACTTATCTATAATTAAATTGTATATAAAAATAATTTAATAATAGAGTAGGAAACCATGGTATAAAAAGTCTTCACCTCCAATAAATTTCATGAATGTTTGATTTGAATTGTATTAAATGTTTCAGTAATAGAAAGTAAACTTACATATCCATAGAACCTCTCCAAGAGTAATGATATTTTTGAATTCTAGTGGGGTAAGGAATTGCTATATCACATAGACTTTGCTTCTAATAAGACTCTGTGGGTATTGAAGTTATCTAGATGGCCAAAGTAGTAGCTATGGTTTTTTTCTTATTATACATACAATCATGAAATTTATTTGAATATTATTATGTAAATAAATTTTCTTTAGTGGAGTGAAAGTTACTATTTGATTCTCCTTGCCACTAGTAAAAGTATATGGGTATTGAGATGGCCAAGGTAGAAACTACATTTGTTTTTCTATTTTACATATAATTATAAAGTTTATTATTGCATAAATAATTTTTTTGTCAATTGAAAACATGATTTTACATATACAAATCTACTTTAAAATTATATAGTCACAAAGTGATAATGTGATAAATTGAACTTCCATCATGCTCCTCTTCCATAGATTGTTAACTATTAAAGGATGACCATTACCCAAATTTTAATTTTTTTCTTTAGAAGAGGATCATTCCCTATTTTAAAAATTTTATTTCCTGAATTAGAAATAATATTCTAAGATTTGAAAAAATTTTTGCCAAATTTTGCTATAGTGGTTGAGTTTAGATGACTTGAGCTGTACTAAAAAAATTTTTGGCAAAAAAATTTATAATTAATAATAAGTGTTTCTTTTTTTTCTTTTTTATTTGCCCCATGTTCATATTTGTGAGATATGTAGTAAATTTGGACCCACCAATTGTCAGCATAATGGACATTCGTTTATCACATAGTGATAAAATTGAATGATGATCTTTTTTATGCTGTACCACATTGTATTT